TAATCACCTCCAAAAGACCCCACCTCCTAACGCCATCACACTGGGAGTTGGGATTTCAACAAATGAAATTGAGGGCCGTGGCATAAACATTCAGTCCATAGCATTGTGCCTGTGCCACCAGGGTGTTTTTGAGTCTAGGCCCTCCCAGCTGACAAAGCAAGGACATGAATGTGTGGAAATGCTTTCTTTAAGCAAATGAGTATATATATATATATATATATATATATATATATATATATATATTCATGTTTTTATATTTCTTTTATCACTTCCATGTGAATTTGTATCTATATGTCTGCTGGGAGGGAGTTGCTCAGCATGTGGGCTCGGTTCTCCGTTTTGAGCTGGAGGCCCATTGAACACCAACTAGATGTTTTCCATTGGGTTTACATGAATTAGACAACTTAAGGCTTTCCTCTTGCTGAGAGATAATTTTTCAGAGATCTCATGCGTTTCTCCACATATGGAAGCAGAGGGACTATCTTTTCATGCATGTTTGTTTTAGCAAACAACAGCCTTGGAAGATATAGGGTCTCTTTCCAGAATAAGGGCAGAGTTGTTTATTGTCCAGCGTAATAAGGACAATATCTTCCTCTGAGGCAAAATTCAGGCAGGTTTGTTTGCAGCTCATTATAAATGGTACGGGTTCCCTCAGCTCAGGGTTCCTCAGCTGTGGTGCAAACCTCCCACACGGGCAGCGTCTCTCCGGGCCACTCTGCCCTGCCTCATAGCACTTGGGGAAGGAGAAACAACACACACATGAAGCCTATCCTACTTTCTGTGTTGGGAGTAACAACATAATGTCAAGAAGTCCTGGGTCTTCTGTCAGCGTCTAAGAAACTGTGGCAGGCTAACTCGTTAGCCTGCAAGAAGGGTAAACCTCAGACTCTTCATAGGTTTTGACACCTCGCCTGTTATTTGGATTTAGCACTAGTGGCATTTTGATATTTCTCAGAGAAAGGTAGGTCTTTTTTGAGTCACCAATGCTGGAAAATTTATTTTATACATTTAAATATAAAAAGTAAATGAAAAAATGTTTAAAAATAAAATCATGACTCATATATAATACAGTGAAAATTGTATTTAGCTCATAAATTAAAGGGGGGACAAGCCATAAGTCACAACTAGTTCTCAGGAGATGTTGAAGACAAATTTATATGGAGTAAAAAATGTTAAAATCAATTTACAAATGGACAAACACTGGCTTTTTCCTAAGGGGTGTGGAGTGGGGAGTGGAGTGGAGTCTGTTGAACCTCATCAGACAGAATTTATTTGCACGTCTATAGACAAGAATTGTTTGCATTGCTATCAGCTATCCCCAATTTACAGACTTGTAAAATAATTCAAATACAAGGAAAAGCTCCACAAACTCCACAGAATCAGATGACCTGGAAAGGTGTACTGTAAACAATGCATAGTTTTCTATTGGATGCACACAGTAATCTTTTTTTCGCTTAGTCCTAAGTCTTAAATTTTTCTTACACCAATGAAAGATACTATAAGAATGTTTCCAAGGTACTAATCCAATATGGGAGAACTAAAAGAAGGACAGAAGGAGATTTTTAAAAGTTAGCCTAGACACACATACATAGAAAAGATATTAGAAGAGGTTCTAAAGATCTGATCTCGGGATGGGATCTGACAGAACGGAAGAGCATGTGTTTCAATTCTTGTAACAGAAGAGAGGAAACTCTAAATTTAGTCATTGAGTCAGACAATTCCCTCTGCTGACCACTAGGTGTTGCTAAGCAGGCATGATGGCCTGTGGCAGCAGGGAGAAGCCCGAGTGGCAGCATCTAACCCATCCATGGTCTAGTTCAGCCGATTAACAAATTTTGGAAGCTCCTTGGTGGCGAGACATTTAACCTAGTCCAGGGCCTGGCACATTGTAAGCATTCAATATATATATATATTTCTTGAAATGAATTATTCAGAACCCAGGGGATGCTCCTATACTGTAGGCGTCCAAGACATGTGGTATTTTGCAATAAGAAATTTTAAGACCTCTGGTCGTATTAGGACAAAGGGAGAAAACATTACAAATTAGAAGTCACTTGGTTAGTTTAAAAAAAGGAGATAAATTTACCCATGAAATCAGACTTGGTCAATCTATGAACTATTTCCACTGCCTGTACAAAAACAAATAAAGCAAAATACTTGTATAAATGCAGACATGGCAAATCATCCCTTTATTTCATTCTGTTTTGCTCAGGTGCCATCAAATGTTGATTTTCCACTTCTACTCCCCAAAGCTTTCTAATAATTTCCAACTAATTTTGGTGCAGTGAGAGATGGATAGCAAGCCATCTGTAATTTCATGTCATCTACCTTTGTATAAAATGAGAAGTGAAAAATAGAGGGGCAATGGCTGCAGGTTAGCTATAGAGCTGGAAGGAAGGAGGAGAATGAATCAGAAGGCTCTTGGAAAACCCCAAGAGCAGATCTTCTTCCTGTCGCTGACTTCTCTGGTGCCTCACGTGCCTTCTGTGGACATCTGTTGGTTTTGTCCACAGAGGGGCCTTTCACTCTTCTCTTGTTAATAGTTCATTTTACTTTGGGGCATGGGCTCCTCTCCAATCAGGCGATGTCCTGAGGGAGCTGTCTGTGCTTGTGCTCCCCCTCAGGTGGCTGAGAGGCAAGCACCAGGCCTAGACCAATCAAAGGCCGGGTCCCTGGAAACTATTGCAGAGCCTGAAAACCACTGAAATTCTTTCAGCTCGGTGTCTCAAAGAAACCGCCCATTTGTTCTTGTTTCCTGGAACCTCACAGCTGCCCTGATTTCTATCCTTTCAAAGACCTGAGTCTTCACGTTTCCTTTGAATCTGTGAGCCACCCCACACTTTTCTAGTAAATTCCCATTTGCCTAGTTTCTACTGACTGCAGCCGAAGGATGCTCACTTATGTAATGAGGAAAGGGAACTAATTGAAACCCTAGTCCTCTGATTACTTCTGTCATCTCTGTTGAACTTATTGAAAAGGATCAGCTCTCGGGTCATGGAGGCTCTTTGAAAATGAGGCATCAATAACATTTATGGATGCTTCTTATGTTCCAGACACTTTTCTGAACATTTACAGGTATTATTTAATCTTCAGAATGACCACGTTGAGTAGATGCTATTATCCCCATTTTACAAATGAGAAAACTAAGACATAGAGCGATTAAACAGCCTGACCATTTCCTAATGGCCAGGTTAACATTCTCAAAGTTTGTAGTACAGAATACTAATTTTTCAGAACTGTCTTGGTCTCCTAGGGCTGTTGTAACAAAGTACAACAAACTGGGTGGCATAAAACCACAGAAATTTATTCTCTTACAGTTCTCACAGAGGTTAGAAGTTTAAAATGAAGGTGTCAGCAGGGCCGCGTTCTCTATGACTGTTCCGGGGGAGAATCCTTGCTCGTCCCTTCTAGCTTCTGGTGTTTGCTGATAATCCTTGGCTTTCCTTGGCTTATAGAGATATCACTCCAATCTCTGCCCCTGTTGTCACATGGCTGCCTTCTCTCTGCGTGTCTCAGTCCTGTTCTTAGAAGGCTGCTAGTCATATTGGATTAAGGGCCCACCTGCTCCAGTCTGACCTCATTTTAACTAAAGGAATTACATCTGCAAAAAGCCTATTTCCAAATAAGGTCACGTTCTAATGTACTGAATAGTAGTTACCTTTCTTATGCTAACCAGACAGCCCTGAATTTCTTAACATTTTTATTAAGCATTTCCAGGATCTCAAGAATAATTCGTAAGCAAGGGCAATTTTCACCAATAAGGCTTTCATGTTTATTTTTCTCTTTCTTTTCACCATTTTTTTTTCTCTTTAGGAGCATGATTTTCTTGATGGTAATAAGAATTTGCGTTGGGTAAATATTCAACCCAACTATGCATTAAAGAAGTTTCCAACATTAGCAGAGAATGTGTTGTTTCTCTCTGCAGTTCCTTATTCTCATCTTCCACCCCAGTGAGGGGAAGAGGGTGTGATCATGCGATCACCAGCCAACGGGAAATTGTGAAAGGGACCTTACTATAAGAAAAGCAGCCCACAGCTGCCTCTGCTCTCAGAGGAGGCTGAGCTTCTGAGAGGACTTGTCTGAGAGTGGACCTGGCCTTGTGTTTGTCCATCTGACATGGAGCCAAAGCGCATCAGGGAGGGCTACCTTGTGAAAAGGGTAAGCAGGAGTGCCACCTACGAGGGTGTCACTGGAGATGGGGCTGGGGAGGTTTGGAGTCTGGCTTTGCACTCTTTACCCACTCATTTTAGGAATGTTTACTGCTGAACCTAAGGTTTAATGGGTTGAACTAGGAGAACATCGCAGCATGTATATAGAATGTTCAGGGGAAACCAGTACAGGTTCCACTGCATTCAGGTTCTTAAAGGTGAGCTAATCCAGCTCAGGTGTCAGCACAGCTTGATCATGTCAGACTGAGAACTCCAGGCTGCAGGGTCTGGAAGGTGGGGGCCTAAGCAAAACCCCTCATGATTCACAGCACCCTTTTCAAGAGCCACACATGCCTATAATGCTAGAAGACTCCACAGAGGTCACTGGGAGAGACTATTCATTTGTTACTTAAATTTCACTCCCCCTGTTTTTCTTTTTAAGGGGAGAAAGAAGAAAATGATTAAAGATGAGTTGATACAATAATACCGTAATTGTAGCTTATTTCTTAGGCTGTCTTCTAAGAATTGGTGCATTAAAAAGTTTATCTTTTTCTACGGGGCTGAAATCTACTTATTTACAAGTCTTAGTGAATTTGTGTAACGTGCCATTAGGGTGGTAGGTAGATGCACCATTTCAAAGATTGGAAATTAGGGACACACGTACACTCAGAAATGCCTAGTTTTACTGTTGTGTCATCAGGGAATTGGATTGTGTTAGCACTGTCGGTTTTTCTTATGATGGTGGGTATATGCCATGTCACTATTAAACTCTCCAGGATGTTGAGTTCACACACAGCCCTTGTGGGCATCCTGTGTGTAACATCTACGTAAATAAGCACACTCATATTGATCTGAGTGAGCTAAGCATGTCAGAAATGAACTGAATTCAGCACATTCCTTCAGATGTCCAGCTTTTTAATTGAATGAATGTCTACTGTGACTGTGTTTTAGGCTGTTCATTGGTTTAATATTTTATCTCAAATGTTCTACGTAGAGGGAGGTTAAACAGTACACATTGCTGCCCGATTATGTCTTGATTTAAAGCTGGAAGGGACCTAAGATCATCGGGCCTCATTCCTTCATTAACAGAAGAGGAAACTGAGGTCTGGAAGCTTGGTGGTTGCCCAAGGTCACATGGCTGTGACAGCATTGGGACCAGAACACCACTCTCTTGAGACCTGGGTCCCTGACTTGTGGCACTGAGCTATATCTGATACACCAGGATTTTCTTACAGTAAATGTAATTTAAGTTAGGATTTGTAATGCACATATGGTAGTGAAAGGCACAAGGGGATGCTGGAGGATAAATGAGCCCTGAGCTGATATTCTCTCTAGTTGGCCATGTTTTGAAACATCCTTTGCAAAGGACACACTTATGTACACAGAAGTATATGTAGATTCTTTGCAATGGGCACCGATACTCTTTTTAAGAACCAATAATAATTTAATGTCGATTTATTTCTTTCCTGATCACTTGGGCTAGTGTCCTGAGAAGAGAAGGTGAATGGAAACATTTTCTGCAAAAAATTTTTTTTGTCTTAAGCAATTTAAACATCTTGTAGTAAAATGTCTGTTATTAAGTTTGTGTATGCATATTTTAAACTCTACAAATTATAAAAAATATTAGAAGGTTAAATCTCTAATAAGTGAAGCTGCCCCACTAGAAATAAGTTAGGGTTGTCAAGACTTAAATTAATAAATAGTCTTCACTCAGTGAGAGTAATTCTTTCAGATAATGGCCTGTATAAGCCTATCTAGAGAACATACCTAGAAAAAAACATGGTGAAATTTTATATTGATATTTCCACAATTCTCATCTTCCATGATTTTCATGTCTACAATGTACATCTTCTATAATTTTTGCATTTTTCTCTAGGGGCTTTGGAACACTCTTTGTTGTAATATATTAAGATTCCTTAGTTTGTCATTTTAAAAAAATGCTTGTTTGGCTGCATAGTCCCTTTGTTGGCTTCAGAATTACACTTGAAATAAGAATTTCCCAGTAAGGTACCAAAGTTCTCAATTCCTTTAGATGTTAAGTTTCTTTCAGGTTCTTCATATATGTAGGTTAAAAACTATAAATGTCAGGAACCTAGCACATAGTAGGCACTACATAAGTGACAATGATTATTAGTATCAGTGTTGATTACACTTCAACAGAAAGGGATGCTCTCCTAGATTTTCATGGGGATATGTGCTGGTTCCTGGGTTGGTTGCCAAGTTAGTAGTGAAGAAAAGACCAAGAAAATCTTTCTTGATAACTCTGTGAGAATCCTTGACTATAGTTTTTGATGTTAAAACATGACAGGCAATAATATATAAATCTCCCTCCACTTAACCATTTTTTCTTATGCAGTTTCAAATACCTGGGTGGTAATAAAGAATATCTTTTTCCTTATTCTTGTTTTATGAAATAATTGTATTGGCGATAAAGAAATCTTGGGTGGAAAAAAATTTTTAAATTTTGGTGCAAGGATGTTGTCAAGGCAGAAATCTTGAGGTCAGTAATCAATGGCATTGACTCTAAAATGTTTCTGCTTTTCTTCTGGGAAAGATAACTGTCCACATTTCATAATTAATGTTTCCTCCATTGACTCCTATCTAAGATCTTTAAGTAGAAATGATGATTAAGAGAAGGAGGGAAAATTCACGATACTGTCATTTTGCAACTTTTTCATTCTAAATAAGACCCAGAATTTTTTGCCTCAGAGTCTTGCTATTTTTTTGCCGTAAAAAAACAGAGCATTTAGAGTCTACCATGGAGAACCAGTTGCTATATGAGCATGATCTCATTCAGTCCTAACCTCCCTATGCAGTAGTATCCTTATCCCCAATTGACAGATGAGAAAACTGAAGCTCAGAGGGAATAAATGACATGCCCACAGTCCACCAACTGGTGACCTGGGATTCAAACCCAGGCTAGTCTAACAGCAAAGCCCACGGTCTCATTGATGCTATGCAGCATTCCGAAAGGCAGGCTTACCCAAGCTGGCCAAAGGAAGTCAGATGAACCTACCAGAGCCAGAGTGGGGCCTGGACAAATTATATTCTGGGTAAGATTTGATTTTGTGACCTCAGCTTCCCTTTCTCTCTGATTGGGGGTTATTGCCAGCCAATAAACATAAACATCTTTTGGAGGTCCTTGAAAACATACTACTGATTTGGATGTGGTGATAATCATAGCTTAAAAAAGAGAGAGGAGTCGGTTACACAGTCAGTAACCTGGACTCCACCATGTCATGCCCCAAACCAAACTCATCCCTAGAGGTTTATGGAGCAAACTGTTTTTGACCTTTTGACAACTAGTCCAGCAGGCACTTCACACAGCAGGACTGACCCAAAGAGTGGCTCGGGAATTGGGTGGCCTGTAAGGCTGGGAGACAGCACAGGGCTCAGGGTGCCCAAGGACAAGTGGCTTGGGAGGAAAGAAAAGGGCCTGCAAAGAATTGTGGTGGAAGGAGGAAAGGCTGGGGTGAAAAAGGAAGCGAGTCAGCGGTCTTGGCTTAGGACTTCTTTCACACGGCTGCTTTAACTTCTGGACATAAGACTGTTAAATAATCCCCAGCGATTTGCACCCATTGATTCACCATCGTCATAATAGCTAACACATGTGGTGCTTACTTCTCAGCAGGGATAGATCTAAGCATGTAATGCATTCATGCACTTAATACTTATAACAATCCTACAAAGTGGGTACAACTATTAGCCTTACATGACAGATGAGGAAACTGAGGTGCAGGGAAGCAAAGAGACCCCCCCCCCAATGTCACACAGCTATTAAGTGGCAGAGCTGGACTGGAACCCAGCAGTGCAGCCCCCGTGGCACACAGAGCTGTGCCTAACCATGTTACATGTGGGCCATCATGGGCTTGTCTTGCAGTGATTTTCTTGTTCAAAGCACTGTTGCTGTGATGGGTGGTACTCAGGAGAACCTTATGCCAGAATAACTTTACAGAATTGTGATACAAAGCTGTATAATCTTATCTGCTGATATGGCAACCACGTTTGTTTGAGCACCTGCTACATGCTAGACACGGTGTTAAGCCCTTTAAGTACATTATTTAATCATTATGACAGTGGGAAGTAGGTACAATAGTATCTTCATTTTACAGGTGAGGAAACTAATATTTGGAAAAATTAAGTAACCTGCCTACAGTCACACAGCATAGATGAGGCAAAGCTGAGATTTGAACCCAGATTCCTAAGATGCCAGAAATGATGCTGTTCAATACTTGGTGCCATTTCTTTATTGCTTACCTAGTATATTTTTATTGTGAAATTATCTGACCTGGAAGACGTTATTAATATAAAAAATATACTACTGAATAGATTTGTTTCCTTGCCTTCGAAGAATTTAAATAAGCACAAAATGACCATTTACCTGGGATGTTATACAAGGGATTTCATGGGTCAGATTGGGGAACTAGAAGAAACGATTTATGATGCAATGGAAACAAGGACTTAATTTAATGCAACACCAACTCAAAATACGTGCCCCATGAGAGTATGGGAGAATGGATGATACTAACTCACAGTTCTGCTTCAGTTAGATACGTAATTTTGACCGTAATGTAACTTTCCTTTGAATTCCAGCTATACGTCAACATCTGAAAAGAGAAGTTGCAGGGAAAGGAGACGTTCAGGAAGGTGTGGGTTCCAAACACTAAACTAAAGTCACCTCAACCCTCAGAAGTGAGTTGTGGCTTCTTCAGTGTAGCTGCACATACACAGGAAGGCATGACCCACTTTGTGCGTTCATCACACTGAACTGGAGTTGTCCATCAGGGTCGCTCCCCCTGCCCCATCAGACTGTGAACCGTTTGAGAGCAGAGGCCGTCTGACTCTATTTTACACTCCAACATCCAGGCCAGTGTCTTGTACATAGGAGCTGCTCTATCATTCTTGACTGAATTAACATGTCTCAAAGAAAGAAATTTGACTAAAATAGACTCATAAAAACCAAGGAATCAGGGGTCCACATTACAGCAACTTTTAACGCATTAAAAAAATTCCTAGTGGGGTACTCATTTTTAGATGATCACGTTAAATACGTTTTTAAGACTTATTTATTTTTGGCTTACAGATGAAACCCAAGGGCTGGCAGGGAAGTCTGGAAATTGAAGACTATGGGATAGTAGGTTCTACAGTCTTTTGGGAATAAATATGTAGAATCTGAGGGTTGAAAGAAATGTTAAGTATTGAAATAAGTATTTAATTGAACTTCCCATCTGTGGTCTGTGTTTTTTGTTTGTTTGTTTGTTTTTTGCTATTCTGTTACCAAGAATACTTGAATGTCTCTTGTGTCAGGGAACTCACTAATTTAACTTTCTCCCTTGTTATACAGCAAACTCTTTTTTCTGAAACCCCCACCTACTGGGATTTCAATCTATGACAATATTTCACACTTTTGAAGACAGTCCTTTTCTACTCTGCCTGTCTCTTTTTGGGCTAAAACCTAGCCAGTCCCTTCAACCGTTTCCCAAGAAAGATGCTATCATCTTTTTTGAACAGGCTCTGGTTTATTAGCAGCTTTGAGGTTTCCTGAACTCAATGTTGTTCTCTAGGTGCACCTGATAAGCACAGAATTACAGGGAATAATAGGTAATACTGATTGAGTGATTACTATGTTCTAGATACTGCCCTAAATAATTTACATGGATTGTTTAATCTCCCAATAACCCTAAGACATGGATAGTCGTGCTATCCCCATTTGCAGGATGTTGACTATGAGGTGTAAAAACCTGCTCAAGGTCACATTGCTAGGATGTGGCAGAGCTGGGATTTGAACCTGGGCCATCCAGCTCCAGGGCCCATGGTCACCTGCTGGTTATGCTCCATTTAAAGTCAGAATATTAGTTTCCTCACTTTAGATCTTATGCTTCTGTTTATGTAGCCTACAATGACTTTAGTTTTTTTTGACAACCCACATCAAACTGCTGACTCATAGAGCTTCTTTTTTTC